CTGAACTGAACAGTAGTTTTAATGAGTTTGATATTCTTCACAGAATTCACATAGCTTTGCACAACGCCTTTTTTCCCGGGGTGACACACAATACTACAATAAAATATTGTTGCAACACACTTTTGGGGACTTCAAAAGTCCCCAACACTCCAACAGAAGAAGTTTGTTACAATGAATAATTTTCACAAAAACATTTTTTTAAATTAATGACAGTAACAAATTTCCACTTCAGACTTTCCTATAAAACATTTAATCTATATTTTATGGCAACCTCAGCTTTTTTATAACTGTTCGAAAAACTGAGTGATCTGAGAAAAAAAATGGTTTCAATCATGCATTTGATCAGTTGCATTAATCCCTTCATTCTGGGAGGATTATGCGAGGAAACACTTGGACACATATTTGTCATCAATTAAAGCTTCCATCCATCCTAAAAGAACCGGTCAGTCTCATTTTGGATAGGAAATTTTTGCCCGGAGAATCTACTTTTACACTGAAATTGAAAAGTGTACAACGAAAATGTTCTAATATTTACTTGAAGAGCTTAATGGCAGGATCTGAGAAAAATTTTATTACACTCAAAAACGTTTTTGTGACGGCATTGATGGTCGCAACGAAATTTTACTGTACTCCGAAAATTCACAATCATTAGGAATAACTCAACAAAACGTGAAATAAATTTGCGACAAGGTCATCGTCACATGAGGCCATAGCAGCGACTTCAACTTTCGCTGAAGAATGAATCGAAAACCCAAAGAAACCCGGATCTGCACTTTATACCTCTTGGTCCATGCACCGGGACCGAACACCTCGCCAACAAGCTGGTCAAACATTCCATTCTCCTTGCGTTAGTAGACGTAGGGTTTGTACACAGACAGTGTCGGGTATAAAGGGACGCGAAACGCGTAGTCGACGACTACGAACAGGTCTCTAAAGAAGTTGTCTAAGGTAAAGCAGCAGAGGACTACCGTTGAGAAGAGGAATAAACGTAAGTTCCCATTAAACTTCAAATTACATGTTCATGCTATAAAAGAGAAGAAATATACATGTTTTTCCTTCACAAAAATGTCATGACTAAGTGGTTTAATAGAAGAAAGTCAGGTTTTCCCTCCCCTGAAAGATTAGAGTGTAAACGTAAGACCATCTGAAACACGACGCCAGAGGTGTTGAAAAAAATTCCATGTGCTCTCTCTTCACCTCTATTTTTTTTGTGGAATAATTTACATTAAACATTCACTTTAAGATGAAGTCTTCGGAAACAGAAAAGCATCGAGACTGAAACGCAATTCCAATAGTCAACCCAGTTTAGAGAATACGAACTCCGGTATCTATGTCGTCCATGGCTTTGACAAAATGAACAGTTTCCAAAGTGAAAATTTGCGAAAAAAAGTGCATGAGTTCTCTCTCCTCGATTTTTTTTGGCGTAATAAATAACATTAAAACTTAGCTTATTAGACTTATACATACGATCAAGTCTTCGAAAAGAGACAATTATCGAGACTGAAACGCAATTCCAATAGTCAACCAAGTTCAGCAAATACAAACTTCGGTATCTACGTCGTCCATGGCTTTCGCAAAATCAACAGTTTCCAAAGTGCAAGTTCGGCAAGTCTCAGTACGTCCATGGTAGAACTGACGAGTAGTTGCAGTTTCATAAGCGCTGCCCGGTCTGAAAATCAGAAAAAAAAAAAAAAAAAAACTCAAAAGGACCATCCAAAGTGCAAGTTCGGCAAGTCTCAGTACGTCCATGGTAGAACTGACGAGTAGTTGCAGTTTCATAAGCGCTGCCCGGTCTGAAAATCAAAAAAAAAAAAAAAAAAACTCAAATGGACCTTATGTGAGTACAGTACAGTATTTCCAACCATCGAAAACAAATTGCTTCAGAAATACGCATCACCAATTTTACCTTACTTTTAAAAGTAATTTAACCAATGACTTAAAGGCAATTTCTACAATTTTCTGTTTTATCCTGCATTCCAATTATCAGGTAGATGTCGCCTCTATAAAAAACCGATTAAGTCTCAACCGAGCCAACAGCACACAACCTTACAGAACTCCACACTTCAATCAAACTAAACGGAATTAAACATAATCAAAGGCTCGAAGAGATAACATAAAAAAACAACTCAAAATTTAGGATACCGATTCCCAAAACATCGATAACTCAAAAATCCAGATGAAATATAATCATATTGATTATTTTGTCCGATCAGGAAGTAAAACTTCCATCTCCATCTCCATCTAAAAAGGAATTTTCAACTTTAAAAAATCCAAGATAACGTTCGAACTGCGATATTCAAGAAGTGCAGAAAAACCATGGATTACAAAACACGTAATACTGTACAGTATTTGCAATAAATATCCACTCAAAAAAAGTAAGACTCACTTTCCATGCATTCGATGATACGTGAGCTGAATGGCAGCTTGAACAAATGCATCCGGATGAGTTCCGTACACCTTCAAAACACCCTTCCCGAATTCTCGGAAGTGAGATAACTTGCAATTAATCGTTGAGCTCTGAAATCCAATAAAATTTGCATTAAATACAAATCCATGCACAAAATAAATGAACACGCAAAAAAAAAACAGGGATCACATTTTTCGGGAAAACAGGTAAAGTTAGAAACTTTAAAATACGTTTTACTTTCAATCTTTCCTTTTCACCAGAACAATGCTTTCGGTCAGGTGTCGCCTTTACTCCCTACAGGTCGGGAACACCTCTCTTTTTCAAGGAACTGTCATGGTAAGCACCTGACCAGAATAAATGGAACTGAGGTTTCTTGGGATGTGAAACATTTGTATGATACATGCCTGACCTCGGAAAGTACATGCAGTATACACATTTCATCCAACTAACTACCATGAAAAAGAAAGAAGTCAGAAATACGTACATAACCATACCTAGCAAAATGTAAAACCAAATGTACGAATATGAGTAACGATCAACGCAAAAGAAGTGCAGCACTGCTAAAATAAGACCCAATTCGATAAAAAAAAAAGGGATAAGTTGAATAATGCGAAAAGCATTCGCAAAAGTTGAACGTGGAACAAGAGTACCTCTACTACTTTTATAACTTGTGTTCGTCTCTTACTACGATATAGTCTTGATGAAATTTAATTCATTTTTCGCTCCAACAATCACATTTCTTGCAAATATTAATTACTTCTCCGCCACTGCATGGCAAGTCACATGTTCTATTCATTTCAATCATTGCTAACTTTAACCTCGGTCACATTTACAACACAAGTGCACTCTCGCCAGCAGACTGATTCGGGCGACATCTATGCCCCCGAAAATGATATCACGTAGCTCGGGGACATTGGGGCGTTCAATAGCGAGACGAAGTAAAATACTGTACTGTACCAACCAAAGCTTGGCTGCCCCGCAAAATCCTCGCGATGTCAGTCTCCAGCTTTTCGTCAATAACGAAGTCCAAACGCCTCGGGTCGGGCCAAATGGTGCGGCTCACTCGCTCAGCGGGCCACTCGCCGCCCAAAGCGCGAAATGACAATGTCACATACAATGCAATCGTCGAGTTGACCATTGCGTCAATCGGGGTGTGCTAAGCGGCGCATAGAAAAGAGAACAAAGAGCGAATAAGAACTCGTGAAATCGCAGTGGAAAAGAATGCAGAACTGCTTTCATTTTTGTATTACAGAACAGTAAATTAAAAATAAACGCAATATTTTGAACGATTATAATCCCCGAATAGCCCCTTATTCGAAAATGCAAAAAATCCTTTGTCTACCTCCAACTCATTCACCTGGAAGAAGAAGAACAAAGGGAAACCAATTACAGTACTGTGTTTCAAAAAGCTGGGAAGTTTTCTTTGCGACAATTTTACAAGGTGACAATTATGTCAGGCATTTTTCTAGTTTTATTGAATACTATACGCAGTATTTAAGCGATTTTCTCAAGTATGTGTGTATATCAGGAAATATTTTTATTTGCGTCTCACAATGCAATCGAGCACTTCTTTTCTTTAGATCTTTTGGAATTCAAATGTCAAAAAATCTAGAAATAATCAGCTTTTCGCACTTCACAATGCATGAGTCATTAACTGAAGGGGAAAAAGCAAGGGTTGCGTCGACACCATTTCTCATCTTATGGAGAAAAACCTACATTTATTTAAAATTTTTAGCTTCCAGGAAATCAGAACACCAGGAAAGAAAGTGAAAGGTCAAATATTTACCTATTCATGGAATTTTAATTTTGTGCATGAAAAATCTCGCTTATTTTTGCACTCCCTCCGAGAAGAGTACAGTACAGTATTCTAAACGTCCTTTTTACTAAACACACGATTCTTCGGAGGATTCTAGCTCAGAATACGTTTAGGTCCAAAATAAATTCATTTTAATCGGTACCGCAAATAATTCCTCCGCAATTTCATCCCTCTTTCTGCACAACTCAGCACAGAAACAGAGTGAACTTTTTTTCTTTTTCTCACGTCAGAGGAATTCCCAGTGCAGCCGTTCTTGAACAGCATACAGGTGAACGACTTGTCGGCCCAACGATCCCGAATCCCGTCGCAAATGAGCTTCTTGAGCACGTCCGACTCCGTTTCCGGCTTGTCTTCCTGCAAACTCCAGCCAAACAGACTCGATTCGATCTCGTGCAAAATGGCGGCATTGGCGGGACTCAGGGCCTTGAGACGCTCGCGGTTCTCCGCCCAGGCGTCACGTTCGTCGCACGTCAGCGCCGCCACGCTCGGCCCGATCGTCGGCAGGCGTCCACGGGCGTCGGCAATGATCCAGTTCATGGCGGCTTCCATGTCGTGCGGAGTCATGATTTCCCCGGCGTCCAAGTCGGCGACTTGCACGGAATACAAGTAGCCACGGTACAAGACGATCATGTTTGTCGGCACTTCGTTATTCGGGTCTTCCTCCTCTGTCAACGAAAACATATTCACGATTTACAACAAGCTAACAAACCAAGTATTGGGAAATTACGGAACATCTAGGGGAAGGTATGATTCGTAGACCAGCAGGAAGCCAAGGTTTCACATTCACAATTGAAGAAGCTCAACTACAGTACTCCTCATCCGCGCAATAATCTTCACATCATGGTCCATTGAAAGATAGAATGAAGATTCTTACATCGGGTAGATGTCACTGCTGGTGGTGACAACAAAAAAAGACTCAATTCTCTTGTTGAATATAGTGAGACCCCCACATGCGGACACCTCAACCTGCGGACAATTAAACACAGGGACACTTATTTACCCATAGAAAATTGATAAAAAAAAGGCCCAACATGAGGACACAGACTTGACATAGGGACATTTTGTGATGAAATTGCAAATACAGTGGGCCCCCGACTTACGACGGGCCCATGTTACGTTGGTTTCAACATACGACGCTTATTTTTAAAATAAAAAACCCCCAACTTACGTCGGGGTTTCATGATACGACAGCTTCTGAGGTTCTTGAGTAGGGGTGAATGTTCAAAATAAGCTTACAATTTTTGATGTTGGTGCAGATTGTTCAGTTTTCAGTGTCTCTAAGTTGAATCATCTCTATGTTGATACATCCGTATGTCGGGGCCCACTGTACAGTACAGTGGGCCCCCGACTTACGACGGGCCCATGTTACGTTGGTTTCAACATACGACGCTTATTTTTAAAATAAAAAACCCCCAACTTACGTCGGGGTTTCATGATACGACAGCTTCTGAGGTTCTTGAGCTCCCTCACACCAACCGTTTTTTTTGCACCATACATGCACCAATGGTTTTCCTGGGAGGAAATAATTTTTTTTTTTGCCAATTATTGCTGAATAACTGTGTTTAGGAGGGATTTTGAATTTTGTGTGTATCTGTACTACCCTGTGCATTTCATTATAGCTGAATAATTTTGTTTAGGAGGAATTTAATAATTTGCCAGAAAATTATCCATTCTTACAATTTTAAAACTCGACTAAATGTTTATTCCAGGCATTTCAAATTTCAAGTGTGTGAACCAAGCCCTCCATCTGTTGAGATGGCACCTAAGAAAGTTTGAAAAGTTATATCTATCCAAATGAAAAAAGAAAGGTGTAAAGAAGATGAGAAATGTTTTTTGAAAAGTGTTCAAAATTTTGAAAACCAATCTCCTCCTACCCTATTTCACTACCCTACCCCCTATTACTTTTGTTTTATACAGTCTTTCAAACATGTCTTGTGTCTATTAATGCAATTTCTGACAAAAAGTTGAAATATAAAGGTAATTTTAGTTAAATATTTTTTTTTCTGGAACAAATTAATTCATTTATAATGTAACCTTAAGGGAAATAGGGTTTCAACTTACGACGGGCCCATGTTATGACATCCATCTTGGAACAGATTGATGACGTAAGATGGGGGCCCACTGTACAGTAAAAATGCAGACAAGGTTTTTTGATGTGATTCAATGCATAGTTTCAAGCCCTGTACCCCTAAAAGATTGGCAATGAAATGGTACAATCTTCTGAGTTGGAGAAGAGATAGAGGACAGAAAAATTTGATTTCCTTGGAATAGAAGAGCATGCAGTGCACTTGTTTTTCTTTCTTTCTTTATTTCTGAGGCTCCCACCAAGGACCAGTTTTTGGGATGTGGGAGGCTTTTTGTATAAAATCTGCATTTATTAATTCCCGAGCAGCGCAGTCCCCCAAAACGGGGGTTTGAATGCTCAAAATAAAAATAAAATAAAAAAACCTCTCATAAATGAATATGGTGCGACTCTTGCCTGGCATTTGTGGACCTTGCTGGCGTAGAAGCCGTCGTGGCGCCCGTCGCACTTGAAGCTCATGTTCTTGGGCACTCGGCCGTAGAAGGGATAGTCGGAGAGATCGTAGCCGTTGAGTTCCCGCGGCAGGTTCGGGTCAAACAGGTAGTCCTTCTGGGGGTCGCCGGTCAGTTTGGGCGTCGTGGACGCCGTGGCGTTCTCGGCGCCCGGCTCCGGGGTCACGTCGCCGCCATCCTGCTGCTGGGCTCGGACCCTCGTCACCACTGCCAATGATACTATGAGGAAGAAAAAAAAAGGAGGACAAGAAAATCATTTTCAGAACGCCGAACCACATTTTTTCATGGCGATTGAAAAAAAAAACACGCCAGAACGCCAGGGTTTATCTCCCTCTTTCAGACATTCAAGTTATTGGTAAGGTTTTTGCAATGTCTTCCATAGTTCCATGTGATGGAAGCAGATGAGTACAGGCTAAACTTTTTGTTTGGAAGTTTTCATGATTTTTTTTTCAAGCGTCTTCTCGTGAGTCGAACAATTTTTGTTCTGTCCCCTTTGTTCAGCTCATTGCGGAAAATCATGTAGATTTAAAGTTAAACTGTATCCCATGTTTAACCCTTCTGCGATAAAGTTGGACTTTTTTCGCAGATTTTGGTTCCACTCAAGAGTGGAATTTTAAAAAAATCCCCAACAGTGTGTGCTGGGCAAAGTTGGGAAAAATCCTGGCATTTTTTTAATTTTCCACAGAAAATTTTCACCTGAAAATGAAAACTTCAAGGCTCCCTTTTTTTCCCCTGCTCTTGTGTTGTTTCCCCATTCAAAAATTAAATTTAAACTTGAAAGCCAGGAGCCCAGGTTAGAGGTCAACATGGAAAAAGTCCAACTCAGGACTTTCCCAGCATTTCTTTATCCCTGGATAAAATCAGACTTTGCCCTCCCCCACCTGGCAGGGGTTGCATAACCTTGTGCAAAAATATAATGCAGGCCCATTTGGAAAAAGTCCAACTTTGCCCTGGGATGGAAAGGAGGCTGCCACCGTTCAAGGGTTAAAAAAAACTGTTATCGAAAACTGTTTAGGAAAACTATATCATTATAATATTTTCCTGATTTGTAATTTTCAGATTGCAGGTCAAACTCAGGATTTGTTAAACGCGGATGATATTATTACCCTCAAAATCTTTGAAATTTGAAAGGAACTGTGTGTTATCTGTCATATTATGATTCCAGGTTGATATATTTTCTGGAATGGCTGCACAGAAAAACCAAGACAAAAAAGAAGGCCAATATTATTGAAATATCTGAAGGCTCTATCTATTATTATTGGCAAATAATCCGCACTTCAATCAAGGTAATGCTTCAGGACACATTTCACACAGTTGTAGCATAAACTTCAGCCCAAATTATGCACTTATTTTAACCCTTGGACAGCAGAGGGTTCTTTCCCATTGCCAGCCAAAATTGGATTATTTTCGCATGCTGGGGCGTTTTAAGTTTTCTGAAGGTTAGAAAAGACCTTCCAGGTGGGCTGAGGCAAAGTTGGGATTAATCCCAGAAAAGCCCATATATTGCTTAGCATAGCATTTTTTTTCCCGAGAAATTTTTCTGTGCAAAAAAAAAGAAAATATCTGGATTTTTCCTGACTTTGTCCTCAAATTCCTGTTGTCCTTTGAGGTGCAACAAAATTTTGCAAAAATAGTCCGACTTTGCTGCCCAAGGGTTAAAATGTACAGCAAGCAATTTCAGATCCACTCTCCCAAACTCAAAACTCTCCAAGTCCAATTTGTTGTTTTTGGAGCCTTCAAATTCGACTTCGAGAGGTCGGACTATATAATTTTGATGGAATTCCGATTTTTTTTTTATTCCCACGGAACTACATTCCGTTCTGAAAGAATCCGGAAAAAAAACAAAATTCCGAAAATAAGGTTTATTGAAACGTGATGACCGTCTCGCGTCTTAGCTCCTGGCAGAATCCGTAAAATTTTCACAACGCCACGGCATTTCAGGAAATTGCTGCATCGAGGCCGAGTTTTCAATTTCCTGTCTCTGTCTGAGTACGAAAACATAACAAGAGCCTTGAAAAAAGAAAAATCACGATGACGTTGATGACAGCCATCATCGTCAGGACGTGTCCGTCTCCAAGGACCGACCATGTCATTATTGCATGACTTACGCAGAGTGAAGCTTCATTTCGTGCTTCGCAGGACTTGTGATCTTTTTCTTTAAGAAAAAAGCACACTGATTCCGCACGAAAACCTAATTTGTCGAATTATTCTCCCTTGAAATTACACAATTAGGAATGACATTTCATGAGGGAATGCTAATTGAAGTTTCGGTCGTTATGAAGCTGCGAGTGATGATGGCGCTGATTGCGTGTTTTTATTGCGAGTATTTTCAAGGAAAGAAATTTACGCATTCCTCTTGTAAAAAAATAATAATAATATTGCACATATGCATTTTGAACGAAGGCCGAAACTCTTTTTTGAAGTCACGACAGGAAACACTTGGATATTTTTCTCGGTCATTAAATATCGCTTATATATGACTCTAGCTTTACGAGGAAAATTTACAATTATTCCTAATATTACTATATTGAGAAAATTTCCCGCCGTTTTTAAAACTCAGTGGGCGACAAAAAACCTCTGTTTTCTCAGAGTGTAACTAATTAATTTATAATATTCGTGAATATAAAAATATGATTCAATTTCCTCATCTGTTGGATGCAGGTGTTGAACTTGTATTTTCTGGTACACAAATGATTGCCAAAATTGAATTAACAAATTTGTCAGCGGGTCCAGCATATTTTAGGATACAATAAAAAAATTGAGCTTCGTCAAGCAGTTAACCCGTGACTTACTAGTCAAAATCATTTCAAGAAAAGCCAAATAACCTTCTTGAAATATGACAATTAAAAAATAAATTTGAGAGAAAAAGCTAATTTAAATGTTGGTTGTAATTCTTCATTCGAAGTATTCTCCCTAAAAAATTCTCAAATTCCCTCTCACACGCAAAATAATGTAACTAAATTTGAAGGATGGCCGAAATAGTTTTTTTTTTCGAAGTACTGTGCGTATACTGACAGAAAATCCTCGGAAACCACACATGAACATCATGAATGCGTTAGTAATAAAAGAAGATATTTTTGAGGACCACGAAAAATAAAATACATGTCCAAAAACGTCAAAAGGTCCTCAGAAGCGGTGAAGTCGAAGTTGGAAAATGAACCGTGACTTTCCTCTTGCACAAGGTAAAAATTTCTCGAATATTCTTTTGCATCTCACGGACACGACCGAAGCATTCCGTTTATAAGGTATTGAATGTAAAACAGTGAAATTCAAGGAATATGCTCACAATCATAGCGTGCAGTAACCCAAGAAAGGTCGAATTTCATCAAAGTCAAAGATAACACAATCTGCATATTCTAGAATTAATTGCGGGATGGAATCATGAAAACAGCAACGCCGCAGGACCTTTTAAATTTGATTTAGCTGGAAGAATGGCAAGTAAATTTTTTACATTTTTAACACGTTTTTATTAACTTGCTTTCTTGTAACCAGACAAGAAGCCCAGCATTTTATGCAAAATCGTTGTCCACCCCGTGATGCGTCAAAACATGCAAAACGGTGTGTACTCAGATGTTTTTCCTCACTGCACCCGACTATTATCAAACGCGATGTTTCTAATAAAATAAATTTCCACGAGTTACAAAATCCTTATTATGCAGAAATGAGGTACACACAGTACAGTAGTACTGTACTTGAGGCGGGTTCATTTGCATTTTGACTTGAACCGACTCACGCAGAGACTTGAATATTTATGCAAGCCCTGCCAGCAGCGAAAGGATCTCGCAAGGTTGCATGCATATCTTTTCATATCGCTCTGCATTGCGAACATAACTGACTCTCTCGGGGTCGGGTCAGAGTGAGGCTGTTGTGACCATGCAGGGGTCCGAAAATTAAAATAGCGAAACCCAAGGTTCGATTTGATCACTGTTTCCATTTTACATCAGTCTCTCATCCCGACCACGAACAGGAAGCTATAGTGAATAATAAAAATTCGAAGTCTTCTTTGAGATGAGTGGCATCAACAGATTCGTGAGAAAATTTCGTCCACAGCAATAATAATAATATGATGATACTGTACTGTAGTCAGATTTTCAGCGTCAGGAAGAAAAAAAATATATTGTGTGAGACCCAAAAAAAATTCCCAGTTGAAAATGTTATCAATGCGTAGAATTTAAAAATTTTCACCTGCAGGAAAATATTGAATACAGGTGGTACCTTGAAATTTGACCCAAATCCATTGCCAAACTGGGGTCGACTTGTAAATTGGTTTAATTGCAAGATACTCCCTGAAATCCATGCAAACAAATGGCCAAAGATGGTCAAATTGTGAGGCAAGGGTTGAATGAACAGAGTGAGTGTTTTATTTGAACATACCCTTCTTATTCTTGACAGATACCTTGGTTTTGATTTCCTACTAATGAAAGTCAGGAAACATAAATTTGGGACTGGAAAATTGCTCTCATTTATGAATATTATGATTTCCTTCCATCCGTTATTTGTACGTTTGGCAGCAAAATAACGATGCTGCAAGATTTCGCGGAAATAAATTTTGAGAAAAACGCTGCCAAATTGCGTTTCAAAAACTTCGAGATAATTTTAGATTCCTCCCGTAATATTGTAGTTTGATCCCCTAATGCAACGAAATCTATTACTGTAACACGTCAACCAAAATTTTAGCATATTACAGTATTTTTCAAAAAAATCACTGACATTTTCAAATGAAAAAACTGAATAAATTCAGCAATTCGATCGCCGATCGCAACGGAATTGAACATCCTGTCAGCAAAATATTGCAGGCTTTTTAGAAAAAAAAAATCCAAAACCTTTTTGATGAAGCAGAAAAAAATATACTGTATATCGAGACATCCAAGTAAAAAATGACCACGTGGCTGAAAGACAAAGCCGAAGCCAGCAGCAGCAGCAGCAGCAGGTAAGAATACACTAATCAAGCCCAGATCCAAGGCAACACCCAGTTGTCAGCTGGGTTTCCATCTGATGCCCCATCAAAGAAGACCTTGACAACACCCCGCGATCAGACCATTCGTACGATTATTGATCACTAAGCATCCGTTCCTTCAACCCAGCAGAAAAATTAAAAAAAAAGATCACCCATGTCATCAGCGTCTTCAATCAGCAAAAGGAAAGGCAAATAAAAGAACAAATATTTTCGAAACGAAAACGAGTTTGTGGGGGGGGGGGGGGGCTTCCTGGATTACGACTTTTTGTGCCCTCGGGCAAGGGCGTGGTTCGTCTTCAAGGTGCACTGAGATTTTTGTGAACCCCTTGAGAAAAAATAAAAACACACTCGGTTCAATTGAAATCGCGAAGTTCACGTGGATTTAATGACAGTGCTTCAACGTTGACCTTGGTGTGAACCCTGCCGTATAATTGGATCTTATTTTTTTCTCCTGAACTTGGACCGCAGAAATTGCATTAAAAATGAGGCGAGATAATACTGCACCGCCGGGGGCCGAATCATAATTATTACCTTTCTCAATCTTGCGCTTCTCTTGCTGGGCTATATATAATGCAGGGGGCCCAATTTTTACAGAAGAATAGTTGAATTGAAGTTTTGGCACATGTGTTTAAATTCTTACAATCTGTTTCAAGCTGTACCCAGGGTAGATAGGTTTGAAAGGATAAGAAATTGCATTGTGCTACAATTCTTATCACTGATATTTTGTTTTTGTTGTCAGGAAAGATAAGAAAGTGTATGTATTCACATCAGTGTGCAATTTTACATTTTGGAATGCATTTTCTTATCTTTTAATAGACACCTATCATATACTGAACAGTCTTTCTCTGTTTTCCATTATGATGTGATGATGATGTGATGGAATGTGTTTGGATGAATATGGTTGAGGAGGGGAGTGGTTTTGGATGTGGGACTTTGCTTG